GTATTAACCATTTTGAACACTCTTTCACAAGTCCTGAATAGTGAAATTATTATGGACCCTTGTAGAATAACTTTGTTTAAAATTGAAAATGATTAATTATTCAAAATTTTCCAAACTATTCTTGACCTAGTAACTCTAAATAAGGATTATAAAATAAGATAAAAAATACAAATTACAATATATTGATAGGGTAACGTATTTCCTAAAATATAATATAATGCGTTTTTTACATAAATAAACTACAATTCTATGTATTCAGGCTACGAAAGATAATTATATTTTATTATTTAAGAATAATTTTTGAAGGGACAGTATAGGACTTTGAAAATAAAAATAATATGAAATGCAAATTTAAATTTAAATTACGCCTTTCTCCATGGTCCGCCGCCCAAGGGTTAAAAAACGCATTATATTATATTTCTTTTTTTTAAAGGATCAATCATTGTATACAATACCCTATTAGATTGCAAAGAGTTAATATATCTTTATTTTATTATAAACAATTTTTGAATAGAAATTTCTCTGATTTATTATTATAATTGTACTACAAGTGTCCCAGGTTCTTAATCATGCACCTGATTAATTCCGAACATCTTCTTTGTTTAAGTCCAATTATAAGCTCCCATTTCAGTGTCCATACTCGACAATTATCGTTATGGCTGTCATTATCCTTGCAATCGTGTTCATTAAAGCGAATCGATTCAGTAGAGACGAACGAAGACATTCTACGGCTATGATTTCAATACGGTGACAATATGAAGGGCGTTAATTGAGCAAATTATTGCTCGTTTATCTCCTCGATTTTCTGACAAATTGCTGGTGACGTTAAAGCATCTCGTACACTTTCAATATCCGATTTATCTTCGGTTAAAATGACCCTTCAAATTCTATAGATTTGAATGCTTCACTTGTAAATTGTCCCCGCAATTGTTATTCCTCCTCTACGTTGATGATAATTAAACTAAATAATTAAACTAAATAATTAATTAAATAATGGAGGAAGGTTTCTGAATTTCTAGTACAATGAAAATTACTAATTGAAAAATATTTACTAATTTTCAAATAAAAATTTTTAATATTCTACTTTGTAATACTAATGCTATTCTTTTTTTGTTAAAAAATATTTGATAATTTTCAAATTCTACCTTAGAGAATTAAAAGCATACGAGATCCCCCGATCTTCACAGAAACGAAGCAAATTCGACGGGATTATTTCAATAATTTTGCAATGAATATTGATCCTAATTTTTCACGCGATTTTCGAAGAAATAAAAAGAAGAAGTGGAGATGAATGGCGACTCTGGCTCGCCGAACAGAACAGAAAACAAAGGAGAAAATAAAGCAGAGGGAGGCAATAAGACGTTCTCTCGACGCGTGTAATATTCAAAAGTGACAAAACAAATTCATCTTCGGACGAAAAGCTTGATTGATTCGTTGGTCTGTTCGCTGCGCCACACTAGAGGCAAGACACGATCAAACTGATATCAAATAAAAAAGAAAGAATGGGGAGATTCTTATCTATAACATAACAGTGATATCGAGGTATTCTCTCAGAAGTTTCTCGGCTAGATCCTTCGCTATTCTTCGGTATTATTAACCCATTACGTACGAAAATACTGTACAGTCTGACTTTAGAGTTACTTGTTCTACTTAGAGAACGAACGAAGGATAGTTTCAGCTTGTTGAATATCAAATCTTCTGTCACAATTTCATGAAATAAAAGTATCGCAAAATAGCAGTTATGATACACCAAATTAAAGCTTAAAGTGTAATGAAAATAACTGTGTAAATGTTTCTTTGATATTCTTAATACAAAATGGCTGGTTGTGGATTGCAACGAACAATAGATTCGAATGAAATTTGTATACAGTAAATTATAATTTCATGACATAAAAGTATCTCTAAATTGCCTTTGTGGTATATCAATTTAAAGCTTAAAGTTCGAGAAAATTGACTACATAATAGTTTTATTAAATCAAAAGATATGAACTTCCAAATTCAATGCAACAGAAGTTTTTGATTTGAGTCAAAGTTACTGAAGAAAAATCAAGGAAATTACATTTTGTTCATTTATCAAATTAATTAAAATAAATGTTTATAAATTAAATTCATTTAATATTTCAATGTAAAATATCACAAATTTTATATATTTTTTTTTGCAGTAAATCAATCACCAAACATATGGTAACGACCAGAGTTGGACAATATTTCAATTAATCTTCTGACAGAAATTTCGACTAAAACAAAAGATATTCATGAATAAGAAATTAATTTTCATCTTGAATAAAACGTCATTCGAATCATCAAAATACTAAATAATTAAAACTCCAATTAGTTATTTGAAAGTAATAAAATCAATCATTTTATTTTACAATTATTCACAAGAAATAAATTTTCATTCAAGAAAAAATTATTTCTATTTTCATTTTATACAAAATATAAAATTATTTAAAATAACGACCATAATAAAACTGACAATGAGATTTGTACGTAATGCGTTAACTCTGTACAATCAATTCTATCAATTCTATTTTTATAAGAATATCGAAGAAAAGGAATAGAAATACTGTGTCTTATCAGAGCAAAGTTTGTTCAAAGCACAGCTCCTTGCACTTAAAAAAAATCAACGAGTCTCTCAGAGTTTCCCATCGATTCGAAAATGATTTTTCAATGCTCTCAAGACAATCGATTGAAAATCATTCGAGTATACGGAAGATCGAGCCAAGAGGACTTCCGTTCGAGAACTACTTACCTATCGCTAACGAGACCGGTGTACCCTCTTTCATGAGAACACCTATCGAGCGGGGAAAACTCTCGAGAAAAATCTTGGGGAACGTAATCGACGATGCACGACTTGAAAAACATCGTCTCGTGCACGCGTCACGCTTCCGATTTCATGCCACTTGTACGTTCGTGTTCGAAATCAAAGTAAAGAAAATTGAAAGAAACAGAAAGAGGATCGATCAGACGAACCGAACAGGTGGCGATGGAAGATGTTCCTCAATTTGTTTGAAATATGTTTGTGGAGGAAGGTTTTCAGCGTTCTTCGAGATTGGAAATCTTGTGGAATTTGGAAAATTTCACGCTTTGTGTGACTGATGAAAATTTTGTTACGTATACTATCGTTTCTAATCTGTGATTTTCCTAATTGTAATTAAATTTTGTAACGTTTATGTAGTGTGGAAATATTTGTGTTATGTTGAAATAAATGAAACTCTGAATGTAATTATAATTAAATTAATAATTATAAATATCAAACTTAGATTTCCAATTTTCTAATGTACAGTTCATCTAACGATAAGGTAAAAAAATTTGATATTAGCAAAAATTTTCACTACCATGAAAATCAGACTAATAATTATAATAAATATATGAAATTGGGGCACTAGGCTAAGGAATGAATTATTTTACACTAGAACTTACTTTACCACTAGAACTATCAAGGAGGTCAAAATGACTTGATAAACAATTCTTTCGAAAATCTATTTTCCAAATTAATTAATTATGTCACAAATCACTTTGACCCTTCCTACAACTACTTTCAAAAACTTTCAAAATCTCCATAACTCGAAGACTAGCAAAACCTTGAAAAATCCAAAATAACTACAGGAGACTCTCGTTATATTGCCGCTGACGGGCAGTAAAGTGGAGCTTCCAAATTTAAACAGCATAAACAGCATAGAAATGTATAATTTTCCTAAACTATAATAATGGAAAAATAACAATGATGTGCTTTAAAATTCATACGAACGTCGAATCATTCATCTGGCAATATAACGAGAGCCTCCTGCAAAACTTCCCATAAAATTGATCAAGATTTACCTCACCCTGCTAAACACCTTTCACTCCAATTATCCACAGCTTCCTATACCACGAAACGATTGAAATCACCCATCGCCACCTTCGAGGGATCGTTAACAGGTGTAGTACGAGTGGGTAATCGCGTTAGAGAAAGAAACAGACAGATAGAGAAAAAAGGCACGCACACACACAAACGGAAGGTTTGGAGAGTAATCTCTGTAAAGAAAATAAGCTGGAACAGGAGTAGAGCCACGAGGACGGTGTATCCGTTTAAGAAAAATATACATATTGAGCATACGTTAAGCAAGGACGTACGTCTGTGTACATGTGTGTATATATATATATATATATCTGTGGTCTAACAAGTTCGCCATCCATGGGATTCACCGCAGCGATGGAGAGAGAAAAAAAGAAATAATAAATTCAATTTCCATAGGTGTAAGGAGAGCCTGAACGGTGGTCCCGAAAATGCCACGATTGAAAATTACTCGAAAAGAAAATTCAACGGCTGAGAAAATTATTTAACGAGCGAAATGTTCGAGATTCGACGACAGCTCTCGACGAGGCTGACGTAAAGTTTTCACGGTACTGTCCGTGATAGGAGATCCAGCATTGACGTGAAAAGCTCGTCAGGATCGTAATCGGTCAGCTGGTCCTTTTTTCGGAACGTATTTAAATCGGTCTCGTTCGATCGAATCCATTGGACCCCTTTCGATTCGTTGGTGATTTCTCTCCATTTTAAAAAGCATCCCGGCGAGCACACGAGTGTTTTAAAGAGGGGGGGTTGGTGGGTCCTGTTAATTGCGAGACAGTTCCAAAAATTGACAGAACCGGGTTGGACCAGCCAGGCCCCATAAGGAACATTGCAAAAACTGAACGGCGACGCAAAGCTGTACAGACAGACAGCGGCTGCCATAAAGAGAGGCTCAAGGATAAAAAGAAAAACAAAGTCGGTCAGTTTTTGAAACTGACAAACAAAACGACGACGAGACGCTTGGTTTCTTTCTCTTTGTACAAGGATCACACGAGCTGTGGGTATATTATATATGAAAAAAAAATATATATGTATATGTGTATATATATATATATAAAAAAGAAGAAATTTATGTATATATATATATATACGTATACCAAAATTAAAATAAATATATATATATATATAAGGGGTGCTTGTATAAGAAATTGTTGTAAACACTCACATAGACCTCTTCCCATTGCGAGACATACCGCACCAGTCTTGACAACCGTAGTAACCTAACGAGCGACAACAGTTTCGCAAGCCTGAGGATCCTTAGAGCACGGCCAGCATGCAGGATCTGGAAGGACTCGCTAAAGTCCTGAAACTGAAAATTTTCAGATTATCAACGGGGGTTGGGTTTGCTTCGTCACGGGCCATCCAGCTGCGTAGAAATAAATTTTGTTAGGATTGTTAAGAATAATTAATAGAGGTGTGGGAATATTCGAAAATTTCGGGTACCCGGTATTCGGGTAGTATTGGGCCGGGTTCTGGAACACCTTTGATAATTGAGTAGGTGTCAATATGCAAATTGACTCCTATTCTAGAAATTATTACTATTAAATAAGTAGGGGAGGATGGGGTAAGATGGCGAATATTATTTTTTGTTTTTTTTATTAATGCTAATCGATTTTTATTGTATGCAATGATTGACCCTTTTTTTAATAAAGTAAGAAATATAATATAATGTGTTTTCTAACATTTGGACGGCAGATCATGGAGAGAACCCCAAGGTGGCTGAAAATTCTAATTTAATTCTGTACTTCTTTAACTATCATTTTCTAAATTTTACAGTGTCCCTTTAAAAATTATTCTTCTAATACATGAAATTCATTTGTTTAAAAATTATACATTTCACTTTAATTAAATAATAAAATATAATTATCTTTCATAGTCCGAATATTATTTGTTTCGAATAGAATTATAATTTATTATGAAAGAAACTCATCACATTATATTTTCTACTTTTTTAGGGAAAAGGTCAATTAGTATATAAGATAAGAAGACGAAAACACTTATAAATTAGTTGTCCATTTTATACCAAAGATAACTATAAAATTACTTTTCTTTTTATACATATAATTTCGTTGCTACAACATGTGAGATTATCACAGTAAAATACTACTTTTGTGGAAGAAATAAAACAATTACACTTATTTTTATTTAGGACATTCATCCAGAGCCAGTCCTACAAATTTTGCCACCCTGTGCAATAATTTATTTTACCACCCTTACCCTTCAAAAGAAAGCTCTTACTTATAAGGAGAACTACCTAAGCGTTACACTCACTTATTCATGAAACTTTGCCAGCTTGTAGAGCTCGTCGAGCCGAACACGCCTATATCCCCTTTTGGGGGCAGACGGCTAATTGTTTAAAAGATATTAACAATTATAGTTAGTTACTCCTTACATTCTGAAGTACGACAAACTTACACATACAATTCGCAGTCTAGAGATCCACGGTTCAAATCCTTGGTTCTCAACATTTTTTTCTTATTTTTAATGATAATTTGTCTCCTTTTGAATAACTATTACCTAAAAATTATCAAAAAAAAAAAAAAAAAAAAAACACGAACCCAGGATTTGAACCGAGGACCTTCAGATTACGAATCATGTGTTTAACCACGGAGCAGATCCGTGACTTGAAAGTTAAAGATCCTCGGTTCAAATCCTCGGTTCCCAAAACAATTTTTTTTTTCTTTTATGATAATTTTTATGTAACAGTTATTCAAAAAGAGACAAGTTATCATTAAAAAAAAAAAAAATGTTGGGAATCAAGGATTTGAACCGTGGATCTCTAGATTGCGAGTTGTATGTGTAAGTCTGTCACACTTCTCAATGTAAGTAGTAACTAACTTTAATTATTAATATCTTTTAAACAATTAGTCGTCTGCCCACAAAACGGGGTATAGGCGTGTTCAGCTCGACGAGCTCCACAAGCTGGCAAAGTTTCATTAATAAGTGAGTGTAACACTTGGGTAGTTCCCCTTGTTAGTCTTAATAAATTCTAAACAGTAGTATTGGTTAATAAGAATTCATGAATTAATGAAAAAAAGTACCTCCGAAAAACAGTTAAAAAATGATTTAGATCTCCTATAATTTAATTCAATTTTCCCACCCCCAAAAATACACGTGTTGCACAGTTGGACCGGCCCTGCATCCATCCCAGCCCACCTTCCCCTACTCCGGATGGTGTGGATAATTAATATGCACTTACTTGATTAAATATGAGGAAAATGTAGTCTAGTGGTATGGAGGAAATGAGGTCGAGAAAGAACCATGTCCTGAGGTAGTTTTTCGCGATTAACTTCGGGTCCAGGATCACTTGCTCGGCGTTATCCTGCTGCATTATACCTGAAGAAGAAGAGAAAGAAGAAATTTTCATTTTCATCCAATCGATAAATGATTTTCAATCGCGATTGAAAATCATCAAGATGCATCGGGTCGGATCGTTCTGAAAGTGTTAATTGTTTCTGGTAATTTGTAAGACAGTTAACTTCGTCGAGACAAGACAAATGTGGCAATAACAATTCGATACGTAGGTTGCAGTGGCAGCTTAGACGTTTCGTTATTGCCCGAGGGATTAATTTGAAACGCGTTCTTGTCGAAATTTGGGTCACGTGCCCGTGTCGCGATGAAAGCCATTGTACGCGTTAAACCGTGTACGTGGTCCGCGTCGAATTCGCGATTGTTGCGAATTCTTGATCCAGATTATCGGCCGTCGACCAATATTGCGTTCCACCGACTGAATACTAACACCTGAAAACGCGTCCACCTGCGACAACTCCATCGATCAGGAAATATTTATATGCCAATGGTGTGACTGTCACTTCCGGGAACCGTTGTATTTTCGCGCATTCAAGGAAAAAGAAGATTCTTGTCAATAATTTATTTTAAAAAGTAGGATAAATTTTTATTTTCCGAATTGTATGTTATCTTTACCTTTCATAAGTTTATAATTTATAAATGTCGAATATAAAACGATAGTTTTCTTTCTTTTTTAAAAAAAGAGGAGTTTCAACCCTGAAATTTTCCACTTTTCCTCGTCTTCTATTCGCTCGCGATTAGATAACGTTGTAAAAGGCTTTGAAACGCAGCTGCCTTTGAGATACCGTCAGCGTCGTTGACACCAGATGACTTGGGTCAAGTTTGAAAAGAAAACAAGTTCTAATGATTGACATTAAAGGGGATGCTACTGTCTGTTACACCATTCGGGTGAAACTTATATTACTTTGCTAATTATGAATAATACCTTCATTTCTTATCAATTAATAGGAATTAAAATTTGAAAGAAGTAATCCTTATCTGAACTCCAGAGTCACACTTTTCAAACTTTAGAAAAGAGCAAATCAAAGATGCAAAAACCTTGTAATTTTGAAACCGTTAGAGACATGTATGTAATTTTTTTTAATGCAAATAAACATTGTTGCTTTTTGAAATAAAAAATAAATTGGACTCAATACTGTTTGGCTCTGATGGTGGAATTAATATTTCAGTGACCTAATATCAACATATCTTGATTCAATACTGTCTGTTTCTAATTTTATATCTCTTCTTGTGTGACTTAATATCATAGACCTGGATAAAGTGTTATATGTCTCTGAGGTATCTTTCAAAGCAGAAGTCCAAAATTATTTTAATCTAACACTGGACTTCAAATTGCTTGACTAGGAATTTTTTTGTGAACTAGTATCAAGAACCCTCTAGACTGTTTGGTTCGAAACAAGATATGGAGTTAATATTATTTTTAAACTATTATATTAAAAATTAAATAAATTAGAATGAAATGATTTTTACTATCAGGAAGCATGAAAAAAATGTGAAATGTCATTTTTTCAAAAAACTGGACTTAATACACTCTGGCTCTGGAGTCCAGATAGTAGCACAATTAAATCTGAAAACTGGATCATAAAACGTTATTCTCTATTTTATTAACACGTTGACTCAATAATACAAATGTCAATCAATTTCTTAATTTTCTATTTCAAATTATCAGTCTTTCCAATTTCCTTCTTCCATTTTTAAATTTATACTATTAAATTTAGAGCATGGGTTACCAATAACTCCTTATATCAAAAATTATATTAAAAATTAAATGACTTGGAATAAAATCATTTTTACCATCAGAAAGGGTAAAAAGTTTGATACAAGAAACATGTAAAATGTTATTCTTTCTGAGATCCAGATATTAAAAGTATTTCCCTCCACAATTATTGAACTCTTTAAGAAGTTTCACGATGGCTAGAGAAGATAGTAATCCAATAGTGGCAAAGTAGAAGAATAATATAAGGAGGACTCGATTTAACCCAGACAAAGTATCCCCTTTCGATTCAAGTTTGCCTACTTGCTCTCGTTTAAAGCCTTATCGAGGATCAGCCGAACCATTCAACCAAATATTCGATTTGTAGGTATAAAAAGAGGCTCTCCTTCGTTTGCTCGACGATTGAGATTAATCGTGTAACCGCATGTTTGCGGGAATGGAAGTCAGAAACGATGCAAAAGTTTGCATTGTCGCGTGCATACCGGAAGAAGGACATCGAGGAAAGAATGGGCGACCTCATTTCTTCCTCTCAGTTTTTCTTTTCCATTTTTTTTTGGAATTCTTTTCGCTTCATCAGAGAAAGCTAAAACTTCGTTTTCCTTGAAATTAGTCAACTATGGTACATTCGTTTTGAGGAAGATTCATAGCAAATTTTCCATTTTTTAATTGCTTTATTTTCACTAACACTTATCATTTTTTTTTATTTCCCTTCATTTTTCAATTTTTTTTCCATTTAAAAAAAAATGAACCTTTATTTGATTATAATTAAGGCATGCAAGAAACAAACTATGGACGCATACGTCCACAGCAGTTAAAGGGTTAAAATTAGAATGCATACCTGTCCTGAAGTTGACGACAATGTCTATGAGGAATATCGTGTCGGAAAGGCAGTTGAAGGCTATCCACCTAGTGCTTAGGTCGTCATTGAAAAAACTAATGGCGACTGGCAGAATTATCAGATTAGCTACCAGCAGGAGGAGCATGCAGAGGTCCCAGTAGAATCTGTAACAAAAAGAAATCAAAACCTATGAAATCTCGAGTTCCCAACAGCTTAGTTTATTTCCATCTACTTTTACTACTATTTGTAAAACGACTGCATCTTTAATCGTCAAGGAGCGAGGCAGCGAATTTCACGGATTCGAATCAGAGGCAGAGGTAGAAACGACACTCCTGTTGAAGGTACTCGAGTGAGACCTCCGGTCCGAAGGTGCCGCGAAAGCTCGAGGTTCATCGACGCGTAGTCGGAGAAGCTCTCTGTCACGGTTTTCGAGCAACTTCGAAGCTGCCGGCAGATTCGAGCTACGAGGTGCATTTATTGCCGCGATGTAGCAACGATATTACTCGTCGAAGTGGGCCAATGTTACCCGCTCCGCTTCGAATCGAACTGATTAAAGGGGACCTTTCAGAAATTGCCCTTCGTTCTTTCATGGATTTTCTTCTCCATTTTTTCCTCACTTTCTTCCGCTTTTTTTTGCTCTGAAGATAGGATGCAGGTAGGTACTTTCATTGCCAAGAGGGCGAAAACTGTTGCACCTAGGTAGCTCGTGTTTACGTTGAAAATTAGGCTACTTTGAGATTCGAAGGTGGAAATTGAAGAGGATATCGCGGATAAATGAAAACGTTCGAATTAAATCGAACAGAAAACCGTAGCAGAGGATCTTTAAATATTTACCGAGGCTGAAATTGACCCGGTGCTTCTCGACCATAAATAAAGAGCTAAAAATGATTCACCTATCCGAGCTGGAAAATTGAACATCTCTGTATTTATCATTTCGATTCGTTATTTTTAGAAGCATACCGAAATACTTCAGGAAATAGCAGTAGGATAACGTATACAGTTGTTGACCCCTGTGCAATGATTGATTTTTTGCTAAAAAAATAAAAAATATCGTTTCTTAACCGTCGGACGGCGGACCATGGAGAGAGCCACAGTTCAAATTCTTCTAATACATGAAATTCTTTTGTTTAAAAATTATGCATTTAAATTTTTAGTAAGTTTGGGTTGCGATTGACTCAATCCACTGTTTAAGGGTTAAATAATAAAATATAATTATCTTTCAAAGTTCAAATCCTTTTCGTCCCAAATATAATTACAGCTTATGTAAAAAACGCATTATATTATATTTTCTACCTTTTTTAGAAAAAGAGTTAATAACCTTGTACGTTACCCCATTTAATCGTTAATTTTAGAACTGCTGAATCCCGAAATATCCTGAAAGTTAATGATATTTAAATTTCAATAACTTAATTACTCTCCAATAAGTTAATAAAGGATGAGCTTAAAAATTTCATTCACGATGTTCAAAACATTTTTAATATTTTATATCTTTTTCCCTTTTCTTGGTTGTTCTTTATTTTACACTGAATTTTAACTACATAATTAGGTTATTGACATTCGGTGAAAAAATGAACACCTACTCAGGTTAAATGAGTTCATTAAGGTGACCGTCGTATCCGCGGTAATAAACAGAATTTCTGTTCTTCAACCCTCTCTTTTTTTAACACCCTGTACGTGCCACTAGACACTGACCTAGAAGCAACGAGAGATTATACCCTGGTGATAACCATATCCCTCAGAGCCGAGATTTATGCTCGGCTTTTTGCACGAGGATCCGCTTTAACGAGCAGGCCTCGTGGGGTAACTCCGTGAATTCGAGACAATTTAAAAGCGCTTTCCAACTTAATTCTCAAGCTTGCACAATTTCGAAACTGCAAACCCCGGATGTCTCGTTCAATATTCAGCTAATTTTAACAATTCCTCAAGAATCGTTCGATCATCGGCTGTTTATATCTCAGTTATCAGGGGACCGGATTCGCAGCAGTTTCAAAAATACATTCTTTTTTTCACGATATGAAAACAATCGAAACGACGATTCGTAAAATCTGGTAAATCAGAGGATGATTTGTGACATTTGGAATTTTATGGATCCGCAATTATCCAGCTTGACATATTTGTTATTAAATTCTTGGATATACGAAAATAGAAATAAAAATATTATCCGAAATTTTAAGTGGTTGCAACGTGGTGATTAAGGTGTTAAAGAAAATTAGTAAAATTTGTTATTATCCTTGTTTTGTTAAATTATTAGAAGTCGCTCATCCAGAGGAAAAGAGAAACATTTTAAGATTTGCTAGAATTTTGATTACCTCTGTTATTTTTATTAATAGGCACAAAATAACAATTTTTTGACACAATGAATTATTTATTAAGCTTCTAAAAGTTGGTATAGTTTAAGGTTTTAATAATGTAAATCTAAAGAGAAAATTACAGATATATCTCTTTTGAATTTAAAATGATAACCATATTCTTCAAATTTTGTATTTTATACACTGAAATTTCGAGTGATAATTGGACTCAATTATAAAATAATTAAAAAATATTTTTAAAAATTATTGATACATTCCTGAAATAAAGTAACAGGAATGATTGTTTTTCTAATTAAACAAAACGTCAAAATTATTTTTTTACAGATTTTTATAAAAATTTTGGTAATAGATTGGTACACATTTATTCTCTTCAATTAAAGAAATTAACCCTTTTCTCTTTATTTCTGAAATACCAGGTCTTTTTAAATAGCTCAGCTTAAGGTTTACTTTGCTATATTTGATTCTTTTCTAACATTTATTTTCTATAAAATTAGATCTTTGCAAAAAAACTTAAAAACACCAAATTTTTAGATATAATTCTTTTCCTTTGGATGAACCAACTGTCTAACATTATAACGAATACAGTGTATATTTCTTAAAAATTTTTCACCAACCCCAAGAAAAATGAGCATTTTCAGTGTCACGTTTCTCGGGTCACCTCGTTCGTCTTCATTTGCCACAGACAATTCAGCAAGTAAGGAGGTCGTGTATCAAAACTTTCCCTGGTACACGTTTTCTCAACTTTCTCGAGCTTCTAAATTCGTTCGAGCCACGAAGAGCGCGTTATTAAATCTCACAATTTCAATGAGACAAACAAGAATATCCAGTTCTTCCGAAAATCGGAGAAGAGCTTTAATCGAATATCACGAATTGTCTGCAAATTTCCACGCGTTCGAACGCGAACAAACGATACGGAAGCTTCGATACCGTTGCGATCAAATTTCAAGTCGACGAGTTGATAAAGGATTCTGATCGATTCTCAGCTCGATTCGAAACGCGTTCTCCAGCATTCGAGTCTAACGAGAGAATTTCTATGGAACTTTGCACGAAGGCAGATCTGGCGCAAACGCTAAACAACGAAATAATGCAACCGTGGTATAGATTCACGATGCAGCCAATTATTCTCCGTTTCTATCCAGCCAACAGTCGTTTATGTATATTTAAGAAAGTGCAATTCGGGTCCAGAGTTTCGCGCGATTTCGCGACTGCTGTTGTATTATGCATTCTCAATCAGCAGAGTAAAACCCTTCCCAGTTTTATGGAACACTGTCCAACAGCTCGCTGTAAAAATTTACTTCTTTGTTTCAGAGAATGGAAAGCACATTTGGAATAAATTCAAATGGAAATTGTTTATTTTAAGAAATAGAAGGAGATTCCGAACAAGAAATAGAAGAATTTCGAAAATGAATTTAAGGGGACTTTTGAAGTCAGAAGGGTGCTGGAATAGCTAACTAAAGGTAAATCACTGAAACAGTAGCTAGTTTGGATAAAACAAACATGAGAATGCAAAATAAAACATTAGATGCGGTTTTCTCGACAGGTGAATTTTACGGACGTTGGCCATGCTTGCAAAAGAAATTGTGAACTGATTCGAAAAATTCTTGCGGTATTGTTTTTGTTATTGAATTTACTGTGGCATAAACAAAAATTGATGAATTTTGTAACATAGTTCGTTTGTTATTGACACTTTTATACGGAAAATTGATTGTGTTTTGCATAAAACACCACCATTTTATTTTTTTTATCTCTAAATGGTTCAATACAGAATCATCGATTAACCCTTTTCCTAAATAAGTAAAAAGTATAACATAATGTGCTTTTTGATCCTCGGACGGTGGACCATGGAGAGAGTCACGATTCTACTTTAATTTTCATTTTCTAAATTTTACACGATTCCATTAAAAATTATTCTTCCAATACATGAAACCCTTTTATTTTAAAACTATTTATTGAATTATCATGGCCACCGTTTACATCCTGTATTCTGTAAGCAGTGCAGTGACCACAATCTACAAATGACACCACAACAAGAAAAAAATGTTTTCGTATATTTAAATAATATTAGTTATATACTAAAAAAGAAATTCCTAAAAATCATTTATATTTTAAAGGATTCGATGAGAAAGTCTCCTTAATATTTATCGTTTGAGTTTTGGTTTAATGAAACTTTCATTTCATCTGACACCTGTTCATCTCAATTAGATTCACTTCGCGGAAGAAAAGTCGCACTTTGAAGCCTCATTCAAGTCCATTGAACGAGACCAGTCATTAGAGACCGGTAGGCAATGTATTCAGAGCTATCAGCTAATCCTCCCGACACTGATTGGTATGTACAGAATCCTCCTGCCGTCTAATTGACCACTTCTTCAGCTCCCATTATGCAACAGGAATCGAGAAATCGACCGATGAAATACTATACTGTCCTTCTGCTTTCCCTTATGTATTATAATTGACAGAAATCCAGGTATTCCTCGAAGATACATATACTTTCTTCATTTACATTCGAAATTAACCAAGACTCGGCTATTTTCTATTGTAATAATAATATCGATGAAACACTTATGCAGTTATTTTCATCAAACTTTAAGCTTTAAATTAATATTTCATAAGTGCTATTTTGTGATACTTTTATGTCATGAAATTCTGATAGACTTTATCCATGTCGAAATTAGCTATTTCTGATGTATTGTTGATTGCGAACCGCAATCAGCTATTTTGTATTAACAATATTAATGAAAAGTTTATATAGTTATTTTTGTTCAGCTTTAAACTTTTTATTAATATTTTATAAATGCTATTTTAAGGTACTTTTATGTCATGAAATTCTGATGGATTTTATCCATATCGAAATTAGC